TGAACCGATAAGATCAAACTGGACTTGAGTAACTTATTAAGAATCTAAGTATATCTTGGTCAAGCACAGTGGCTCATGCTTATAATCCTAGCATTCTGGGAGGCCAACATGGAAGGATCCCTTGAGGCCAGGGGCTAGAGCATTTAAGTTTATCTCATATAACATTTCAGACCTTTTTTCTTTCAAACCAGGAATGTATTTGTTTTTTGCTTGTTTGTTTTGTTTTGAGACAGAGGCTTACTTTGCCATCCTGATTAGAGTGCGGTGACATCATTGCTCACAGCAACCTCAAACTCCTGGGTCCAGGTGGTCTTCTTGCCTCAGCCTCCCAAGTAGCTGTTACTACAGATGTCCACCACAACTCCTGGCTATTTTTTTTAGAGACAGGATCTTGCTCTTGCTCAGGCTGGTCTCCAACTCCTGATGTCAGGCAATCCACCTGCTTTGACCACCCAAAGTGCTAGGATTATAGGCATGAGCCACTACACCCAGCTGATATGATTAGAATTCTATTGTTTTTCTCTTTTATTCCCTCTTTACAGCTATTTTAAGGATACTAATACTGACAGTAATGGAATAATGATTGTAAGGGACACACAATATTGAAGTGCTCTGTCCATCAAAGTGATATAAAGACCAGTCAATAGTAATAGCAGGATGCCAACTGAAGTCTGCATTACAATGAAGTCATGATATTTTCAAACAATATTATTAAATACTTCTGCTTTAATTCTCGTTATGAAAATTGAGTATCATATTAAGATGATTAAAAAATTAGTTTATGTAAGTATAATTTACTATAGGTTGTTCTTTTTAAGGCTTGATTAAAGGATTTTGCCCTGATCTGAGGAAGTTTTCTGTCTCAAATTTCTTTTCAGTGTAACCTTCTTTCCACCCACTCCGGTGTGAAATTTGCTATTGTTAAGGGTAGCAGCCTCTAAGGAATAGACAGTGATGGTAAAACTAGGCCAATGGCAAAAAAACTGATGTGAAAATCTATTCAGCAGGAATCCTGGGGATTCCTGTTTGAATAGGGATTAGGAGACTTCACTGGCAGTTACTGTGATTTTCAAATACTAATGAAAACTGGTATTCATAAGCAGTACATTATACTTGTTATTGAATGTTGATGTTACGTCTTTCTTTTTTTTTATTACCAGAATTTCCTGTATTTAGATTATGATATAGCCTTTGATTATTTTCCTTATGCCTTTGACTCTGGATGACATCATTTATCTTTATTATGTTACTAATTCAAAGTGTCTAACCAAAAACTTAAGAAAATGAGGGGAAGTGTCTATAAGTAAATGATAATTTTTAAATTTTGCTGCTGAATGAAAGGTGAAATAAGTTTCCAAAGTCTTTTTTTTTTTTTTTTGAGACAGAGCCTCAAGCTGTTACCCTGGGTAGAGTGCTGTGGCATCACAGCTCACAGCAACCTCCAACAGCTGGGCTCAAGCAAGTCTCCTGCCTCTGCCTCCCAAGTAGCGGGGACCACAGGTATCCGCCACAACGCCTGGCTATTTTTTGGTTGCAGCCATCATTGTTGTTTGGCGGGCCCGGGGTTGGATTCGAACCCACCACTGTAGGTGTATGTGGCTGGCGCCTTAGCCACTTGAGCCACAGGCGGTGAGCAGTAAAGTCTTAAAGCTACTTAAGATTCGGGCCAAATCCAGGCCTCCACCTAGTATTCTTTTCCCTTTAAGCACATATTCCTAAATCCAATGTGAATGGATCACAATTGGGAACCAACATCTGATAGATCCCACAGGCTCTGCTTATCTCAGCTCCACTCTTCTTTCAAGAACTGAGTCCCTTGTCTCTCCTCTTTGAAGCACGCTGTGATCCGTGCTTAGACAGAGCTGGCCGCAGCTGGCTCTCCGGGTCCTGAATTTTCAGTTCCGTTTGTTTCATAGCCACTCTGTTCTGCTTTGTCTTTGCTGTTTCATTACACATTACATCTTTCCTGTTAGACCACAACTTCACTGTGGAAGGATCTTGGTCTCGTTCCCATGTGCTCTCCATTTTTCAGGAATGAAAGTGACAAATACTTTATTAATTGAAGTAATAATTGGGAACATTAAAGTTCTATGTAAATAATTTTTCAACTTTTGCTTGGTTCTGCTTCCCTTTTAAAAAAAAAAATAGGTTTATCTTGAGTAGTTAGAGATGGGGTTTCATCACAGACGTAAACTAACTTTGGAAATCAGCCAGTCACACACACACACACACACATCAAACCTCTGAGGAATTCTTCATTGCAGTGTAGAGTAGACAGGGAAGACTTGCCCAGAATTGCAACGTGGTGTGGACCTCGAGGATAACAGATAATACAACATGCAAAGACAGGGAGGATGGGGAGGGCGTTTCACATGGAGACCAGGGAGAACAACACATGGGGATGGGAAGGAGCCTGATGAGGATGGAATGAGGCGATGATCCCTGGGGAGATCACCATGGCAGGAGGTCCCAGCCATACCTTTCTTCACAGCCACTCTCCCTGAAAGCCAAGTCCACTTGGACAAACTCTTCCTACTGCCTTACTTCCCTGCTGGTGGCACCTGGGCTTCTCTTTTGGCCTTTCTGATAACGCTGTTTTAAAACCCTAAGGAGCTCAGTTATCCCTTACTAATAAATCTAGAGTATGATTTTTAATAATCATCTTTAAAATTTTTTTTTTTTTTTAGTGACAGAGTCTCACTGTGTCACCCTTGGTAGAGTGCGGTGGCGTCACAGCTCATGGCAACCTCAAACTCGTGGGCTTCAGTGGTTTTCTTGCCTCAGCCTTCCAAGTAGCTGGGACTACAGGCACCTGCTAGAAACGCCTGGCTATTTTTAGCTGCAATAGTGGTTGTTTTAGCAGGCCCAGGCTGGGTTCAAACCCGCCAGCCTAGGTGTATGTGGCCGGCACCCTCACCACTGAGCTGTGGTCACTGAGGATAAAAATGAAACATTTTTTTAAATCCATAGATAATGCTGATTTAAAAATTCATTTTATTTTTTGATGGTAAGAACCTTTTTTCTTTCCTAATTATATGCTTAGGCAGCTCAACTTTTATGGAAAGGATTCACTGAATTTGCTTTTTAAGTAAATATAGGTATGTACTGTGGGGCAGGCATTGTTCCAGAGATTCTGGATCTGGAAACGTGTGAGCATGGTGGTGGAGACCATGGATTAATTACCCAATAAAAATGGAAGGAGAGACATCAGGATGTTGCTGAGTAACCATACATCAAAAGTAAAGCAGAGGAAGAGAGGTGTGGGGTGAAGATCAGGAGCATTCTGAAGGAAGGAGGTGCAGAATCTTGTATTCTAGGTGTGTTCAAGGAAAAGGCAAGGTTCCTATGACTGGAGGGTGTGAACCCAAGGAGACGTTGGTGGGCAGGGCAGGGAGAAGCCATGGGTAGTGGAGGACAGATTACAGATAGTTCCCAATTTATAATGGTTTTATTTACAATTTTCCAACTTGACTGTGGGCTTACAATCCCATTGTAAATTGCGGAACATCTGGATTTACAATGGTTCAATGTACAGTTTTCTATTCTACAATGGATTTATGAAGATATTAAATGCATTTTTTACATTATTTTTGAGGTAGGATGGATTTACCGGGATGTAAACCCACAGTAAGCAGTGGAACCTCTGTGCAGGGCTCTAGATCTTATTCTGAATAGCATGAGAAACTGCTGGAGCATGTGAGAAGGGGGAGTGGTCTGACTTATATTTCCAAAAATCTCTCTGATTGCTACACATAGCTCATCATCCATTGGTAGGTGAAGTGGGAAATACATCCATCTGTATAGCATGCTTCTTTCTTGGAAGGAGTTATAAAAGTAAACAGATGAAACTGGTATGTATTCAGGGAAAATATAGAAAAAATATTGCATTTGTGAAATCTGTTCAATGTGCTACATCACTACAGCGAAGGAAGAAATTCTGTTTGGGGGTGGTTTGTGAGGCAAGAGGGTAGACTTAACCAGACTTTGAAGGATAGATTGGATTTATCTGGATACAGAGAACATATTAAATTGGAAACAAATGATTAAAAGGCCCCAAGGTAAGAGCCACTATGAGGTATGAAAGTGAGATATTGATGTTCATCCTGAGACATCAGGATCTTTACAGTTTATCAAAGACAATAAATTATCCTCTTGATTTGGTACAATGAACACATAACTAATTGGACCTAATGGAGGCAAATATCAACTTGCATTATCATATTTCTTGCATTACCAAGTAATGTAGGCATAATACTCAAAATGCTTAGTAGGAAAAGGAGGGGGGCAAATTCCCTTAATTCTGCCATCCAACACGAACTGTTGACATTTTGGTGTGTTTTTTCTAGATGTGAAAAAAAACAGCTATATATACATTTAGGAATTTTGTGAATTAGATCCTATTAGAACATTACAATATATATATCCTATTTTTTGTGTTTGGTTTTTATTTTAGGAGAAAGCCGAAAGCCAAGGCACCCCTTCCTCCAGCTGAGACCAAACACGTTGATGTCTCTTCAGTTTCTAATTCTGAAGAATCCGCTGCTTTCAACATGGAACAGAAAGAAAACACAATAGATAAAGACATTGAACTCTCAGTGGTTCTCCCTGGGGATGTTATCAAATCTACTACTGTTCCTGGCAGGTATGATGGAGCAAATGAAATACCAGGACTCCTCTTTCTTATAGCCCATTGAGACCTTTTGTGCTATAGACCGCTTGATATTTTTTCTTTGACCGAATACTTTATTCATCACTCGGTTCAGTTGCTTGTTTTTAAAAATTACTTTAAAAAATGTTAACATTTTTCAACCAGTGCTATGAACGCCACACATCTTTATGAAGTGACTCTTGAAATTTAGAACTATTTCATCTCTTGTTAGTTATTAAGTTCTCAAAATTAAACTTCCTAGAGCAGTGATTTTGAGCCAGTGTGTTGTAAGAGGATCTTAGGTATGCCACAAAAATTTTTAAAGGTAATTAATTAAATTATTTTCAAAAGAAGTTCAAAGCACGCTAAGTATATTCTTTTTCTTTTCTTTTCTTTTTTTTTTTTTCTTTTTTGATCAACATAATTTAAGTGGGCCATGGAAATTTAACTATAAATTCAAATGTGCTGTGTGGTTAAGAAAAGGTTGAAAAACATTGTCATAGAGGAGTGGCCATCAGTTGTATTGATTTTGTAAGGCAAGCTTACAAATCAAGCCTGTTAGTTACCCATAAGAAAATCCTTTCTCTTTCTCTCCAAATTGTTCTTCCCAGTGTAAGCGGTTACTTTAAATTTGATTTTGCAGAAGTTACTAACCACTCTTAAAATAGGATAATTTCCTATTTATGAAAACAGATAACTATAAAATTGATAGCTTTCCTCTCTTCAGTGATTTACTTGATTAACTAAAAATGTGGGTGAATTAAATAGAAATGTAAAATCAAACTTCTTAAACAATTTTTGACCAGCCAGGCTGGGAGAGTAAAATCAAAGTTTCAACAAGCAAAAAGAGAAGGTGTGATTTAGGAGACTGATATCTTTAAATACCTTCATGAAAATTGGAAAAGTGGAACAAAGCCAAGTGTAATTTTCCATTTCATTCTGAAGTGGAAAGTTACACAAACTGGATACTTGGTCTTGCTCCAGACTTGGGCCTGTTCCACCTTTCACCTTCACCTGCACATTTGTTATCAGGAGTCTGTTTTAGAAATTTGAGCTGTTCTGACCTTAGGGGTGTGTGTGTGTGTGTGTGTGTGTGTGTGTGTAAGGAAAATGAATAATTAAGCAGTATACTGTGTATTGCATTCATACAATCTGGTTTTGTCTAGAAAAACTCATTCAAGATAATTGCCTGTGGCTCAAAGGAGTAGGGTGCCGGCCCCATATGCCAGAGGTGATGAGTTCAAACCCAGCCCTGGCCAAAAACTGCAACTGCAAAAAAAAAGATAACTTAATTTTAAGATTTATCATCAGAATCTTATAACTTTACAAATCATTGGAAGTAGATGAAAATAACATAGTTCTGCTCTAGCGAATAAAGCAGTATGATGTATTAAATTCTCGTCAAATTTGAGTAAGCTGCATTTTGCCATTTTTATTGCAAGTTGCAGAGAGCACCTGTTGAACCCTATTTATGAGCTGGAGAAACCTGTGGCTGTCCATGGTGGGCTACCACCTGTACCTGTATTTTGCCTCCTCCAGGTGAGGACGGCATCTGGAAAGTTAGAGACTATGGCC